TGTCAGTTGCTAGATTGCTACACTAGTCTTGTCAAATCTCAAAATATAAAAGGCAACCCTAGTATCTACATTATTCTCTACATCTTGTACTTCCTCCGGCTGTGCTCAATGAGTTTAGCGCCATTGCCCCGGTTTCTATAGCAGTTCCGAGAGTCTATGACTGGAAAGTCAATTATGCCATGCTCTGGAGTTGTCAAAAATTATAGAAGGGTGTCGGTGATTCTCAAATACTTACATGTACATTAGACAAAAAAAATTCCTGAAATTATTGGTTAGTTCAGGTGCCTCGAAATTTCGCTATCCATCACTGAGTTCACTTCAGATTTTGAGGGATGGTTCAAGTTATATCGTGATAAGCTCAAGAGCAGGAGAAAAAACGAGCATTTTTTGCGCAAATTTTTCCCTTTACCACGGTAAACTTCAAGAACACAAGATCAAAAAGACAATGCATATGTACAGCTTCAAGCAATTACTCATAATGAGATACCCAAAGAGCGGCAATTGCGTTATGCGTTTGCATTTAGTTTGATTGCGGAAGCTTTTCCGGTTGTTAATGTCTTGTTTAGTTATCAATGCTTTTAGCGGAAATTTCAACGTTCGTAATCAACGCAATGGTGCAGGTGGTCCGGCGATGGGGAATCGGCGTGCAGATGTGATGAAAGGAGGCTCTGACCGTGAGTGCATCGTTTTGTGTCATCATCATAATGAATAGCATTTTTCATTTGTGATAATTATCGATTGAAGTCCGCTCTGAACAAATCAGATTACAAAAAGCTCCACTAAGTCGACGATTCTAATGCCCACATTTTTCTGCTGTATTGAACCTTTCGGGCTGATTTGATTAGGTTTATGCCTGTATTTCTACATATCCAAAGATACGGACATGTGATCCGAAATTTGCTCTTGAAATGTTCAGCAGAAAAGAGAAAATGCACATGTTCAAATTCTTTTTACATTTGGACGCATATTATTTTTCATACAACTCAGGAAGAGGCGGAATGACCGGTCGTTATCCCACTCAACCGCACAACGTAAATTCGTCACAAAATAGGGGAATGTCAGGCAACAAGTATGAACCGAGAGGTCGCCCGTCAGCACAAGAACTTCAGGATAGCTTCAATGGTACGTTGTTTGCACGATTGCCTTGTGATTCGGAAATCGTGACCAACTAAAGCTTTGCATAGTTACAGCTGGGTCTCAGCAGGGTATGGGTACATACGTGAGTCCGAGTATGCGCGCGGCAAACTGCTCGGCGAAATTGTAGCGCTTCGAGCATCTCTGGCGCATATTATTGGGGCACAAACTTAAAAGACAGTAGTTTTAGGCTTCTACTAATCTACTCTACTTCAAATTTGGGTCCCAATGATAGGCGCTAAGGTCGCTCAAATCGCCACGCACTTTGCCGCGCGATTTCCCGCGCGCATCCTCGGACGCACGTAAGTTCCGTCCCCCGTCCCAGCAAATCGTGTGGGTTCCGTTTCTTTTTCTTTCTTCCTTTCTTCTCTAAAATGAGGATCTTACGATGAAAACTATCTAGCTACTAGACTACATATCAGAAGTCTTTTATTATTGTGATTCCATGGCTGAGTTCTACATGACTTGTGAACCTGATCAGGACGTAGATGTATTGTGCATTGCCGTTTTGTAAAGTACATTTCTGGGTATGAAGAATGCTTTGTAAGAAGTGCGCAGGTCCTACAAAGTTGGCACTTACCCCTTAAATCGGCTGTTTATCTTCGCATGTACTCTTTTGAGCAGAGATTTCACCCGACCATTTTCTTCACTAATGTTTACTATGTTCTTCTGCCGCCTACTCACATACAGAGGGTGGTGTATTAAGTGATTCTGGGATTTCTTCTATATCGGCTTTTTTATTAGGTTCGCCTTTTTTGACGGTAGTTATTTTACAACTTCTATTTTATCTTATTTTTATTCAACAACTNCAACTGCAACTTCTAAAGCTCATTATTTGCAGAGTTTTCAATTAATAAAGAAGGAAATCTGCGTAGAGATCCGTCACAGGGTCAGACATCCAGAACATACGAGAGCAAGAGTCAATCTTCGAAAGGTTAGTTTCGGATTTATGGTTTTTCAAGATCTACATCTGCGCTAATATTTACCATTTCAAAATATATTTGTAGTTCTACTAGAGCCGCGCACAAGCGCATCTCCTCGCACTACTCCCACTGATGTAAAGCAACAGCCTCAAGCAGGAGGTATTTCTATCGTAAAACCCTTTGTTCCGGTTTTTTAGTTGTTCGTCATGTTGGTTGCAGTGGGCTAGTAGTTCTCGATGAATTATCTTCAGTTTCAGCTCATTTTTCAGCTGCAGCTCGCCGTGCTGATGGATTACGGGGATGGAATCAGGAATTCAATAACAATTATCGGCCAGAGGGCAAGGCAAGCTTATTTTCTTCCATACTCAATAGTTTTTTACTGTCTGGATACCCAGTCAAGGAACTCAATTTGTAATCTTGCTTTGTGAGAACCTTATAGGAACAGAAATCTAATTTTTCTTTTCATTTGTAGTATTGTGTTTGATATTTTTCCAATTCGGAACTAATAGTTTGCCGCCAATACCAAAATTCGCCTTATAATTTTCATGGATTATCCAACCTGATTCAACGGACGAATTGAGTGCTTTCATTGTGTTCATTTGTAGATGTGATGGGTAGTAAGCTTGCTTCACTTGAAGCCTTTGTGCATAATTCGACGTTCTGCAGCCGTTCCCTTCACCACCTCTTTTCTGTTTCATGTTTCAGTATTTGGAATAGATTTTCCAACTCATCATTTAACCAATTTTCATGTTTGATAGAAAAGGGAAAATTTTCATGTAGCACAGTACTGTGTTAGCTACNAACTCATCATTTAACCAATTTTCATAATGTTTGATAGAAAAGGGAAAATTTTCATGTAGCACAGTACTGTGTTAGCTACAAAACCGCTGTCTTTCATTTAAGTCTATTTTTTCAGACCGATACCCCAAGAGAGTCGCCAGCGCGCTCTCTTCCTGCAGCACCATCCGGTAATGCCTGGGCTCGAGGTCCTCCTACCAGTGTGACCAATGTCCACAACTCATCCCAGCAAGGTAAGATCGCTTCAGATTTGTATCCATTGACAGCATAAACGTCTCCATTGCCTGCAAAATGGAATCGCGATGCGAGAGCGTTCGATGACGTGTATTAGCAATTTTTAGCCACACCCACTCCAGCTTCCCCCTCACATGCCGCTGAAACGAACGCAACGGAGCCTATGCCAAGCTCCACGAACAATGATCAGGTGAGATTTCTGAGTTAAGTGTAATCTCAGTGTTCTTTTAGTTTGCATATTAAATAAGCTTTTTTTGTAGGGGGCCTAGTGGTGCTAACGCGTCTATNGCGTCTATATAACATTGTTCTATTAAGTCTGCGGATGCGTCATCTACAGCAACTGAGTCATCTCCCCAGACCGAAGGTCCTTCTGCAACGGCTGCAGCATCATCTGCTCCCTCTACTGGTACTCAAGCAGCTTCTCATGAGGCTACCCCTGACTCCACGGCTGCGACGAACACAAGCACTGAAAAGGAGGAGGGGTGAGTCGTCCCCATTCTTTGTGGCTTCCCATCCTTGTACATTCTTAAAATGTTTTGCTTGTTTATCCCCTTCTGTACTGCTTTAGTTTCCAATGTGTGGAATGTCCTGGTAATTTTTTTTCAGCACGAAAAAGTTCACGTTCAATATAAATGCGCCAGCATTCAAACCGCGAAGCGCAACAGCTCAATTGCAACAAGCTCAAGTCGGGCCTCCTCCAGGTGGTCCTCCTCAAGCCATGATGGGGGCTGTTCCAATGGTCCCAACCGGAGTTCCTATTCAGGTTGTTTGACGTTACTCTCAATACAAAATGTAATGTGTAAAAAATGCCTTTGAGTATAGTAGTCAGTATTGGAATCTCTGCGCAACTTTTCCTGATTAGGAGTATTAAGGGAGCTTCCGAGCTCCCATGGAACCTGACTAATTATCGATTTTTAGACGGCAATGCCTCCTCCTGGCATGCTACCCACTATGCAAACTGGCCAGCCGCCTGTGCTAGTGCAGTGGCAAGGAGCTCCTGGACAGCAGTACCAGGCAAGTACTTAAGAAATGCGCATTGCAGATCTAGGAATCTTTCTAACCTGTCGTTCTAGATGCCTGGCTACCAATACGTTGTCACCGGAGGCCAACCTGTCGGTATGATGCCCAGTCAACCGATTGCTATGGCTGGTCCTCGACCAGGTGGACCACCTGCAGTTGCATTCCAGCAGGGTAGCAGAAGACAAGGTAAAAAAAATCGTTTTGCGTAATACAGTGGAAAGTGAAAACTTTACTATTTAGTGATGGTTCCGCATACAGCGGCTCAGTGGCAACCACATGTCATGCAAGTCGGACAGGGAATGGTGAGGTGTCGAGTTTGTTCATTCTGCATTGTATGTCATCTTTCTTCTCTCTTCAGGTTCCATATGCCTATCAATCATTCTCCGTACAAGGAGGTGGATCTGGTGGTGGAAGTGGCGGTGTAGTTCCTCCCCCACCACCGCAAGGTGGCTTCACAGGACCCCAAGCTCCTCCGCCGCAAATGATGCCGGGTACTCCTCAGGCTGCTGCTCCTCCACCAGGCATCTATCCGCAGCGCTTCGTCCCTGCTCAAGTAATACACATTTGTTTCACCTCTGAAGTTGGACTGTTACTCGCGATTTGTATCCGTTGTAGGGTTACGTCCTTCCCCAAGCTGGCGTTCAAGGTCAAACGCGGTTCCCCACTCCGCAGCAAACTCCTCATCAAGCAATGGAAGCGGCCCATTTTCAAGGTAAAGAATTCGTTCCTATATGTAACTCGTCAATGTGCTATTTATTGCAGCTCAAGGAGCACCTGGATCGGCCGCAGCGTCAACTGGACCTAACAGCCAGCCACCCACGCCTGGGCCATCTCCTGCGCAGGTAAAACGTTTTCTTCATTGATGAGAATCAATGTTGTTCCGCATGCATCGTTATCATTGAATGTTTCCCGTTGTATGGTCGATCAGTGAGCACCAGCGCGTAAATGTTGTGAATGAATAAGCTGTAGCATCCATCGTATTCGTCGGAAATGTTGAGCCCTCATCTATTTGTAAAGTCGACTCGCTTATTATGCGCTTTGCCCAATAAATGCAGAACGACAAATCCTCAAATGCATCAAATTTTTTAATCCTGCCCATATACTACCCGGTCAGTCTCCCAAGTACAGACTATTGATTCAGACCTCGCCTAAACGAAGCCCTTCAAGCTGTTTCATGCTCTTCTTTGAAGTACCGCTCTCACGAATTCACATAGACAAACGATAATATCCACGACTTTGTTTTTGTAAATTGTTCGAAAGATGATTGAAGGCGCGAGGATTAGTCTCTTCTTATGAGAGCGCAGAAACAGATGAAGCTTTGAGTGCTTGGAACAGCAAGTTGCGTTGAAACTGTTGCGTTGCGACAGCGTAAGAAGCCATCCGCTGTCTTGTTCTTTCTCCAACAAACAAAATTTTTTGCCACGCTGGACTAGGCTGGTAAAACATTGGTTCTTGACTAATTGGTATGGTATCATATCACATGTAGCACAATGTTTTGACATTAAAGGGAATTCTTTTTTAACGGAACGTCTAAGAAATTTGTTCATAGGTTTTAGTTGGAGACTGACTCGACTTGATAATGGATTCACGTTCAAAGAATGGATTGTCGCTGTATTTATGATGCGCACTGTGCTTAGAACTGATCTATTGTGGCCTTGAATAGTGTGGAATTGTAATTGTTGTCATTGTGTGTGGTCATAGGGCGGACGAGGCGGTTCTCCTGGTCAACAGGCAGGCGCCATGCAACAATCCGTCGGGCCACCGCCGCCCCAGCAATTCATGGCGCCCGCGTCGGCGGCTCCACCTCCCCATTTTTATGCTGCGGCACAGCCGGTATGTATTTTGTGGCATGAGCATGCAGTGTGATGTTGGTGCATGCCTAGTTATGTCGTGCCGTTCTAGAGAAAGCAGTTCTTAGCTGTCTTCACACGCTTGTATAAATTTTTAACCCTTCTTTCAGGTATACGGAATGTATTCGGCGCCTACGGGGCAAGGTATGGTAGTTTATGGTGGGCCAGGTGGAGTCCCAATGGCGGTGCCTCCAGCCCATCATGATGCAGCCATGATGCAACAGCAACATCAACAACAGCAGCAACAACAGCAACAACAGGGTGGCGGTGGTGTTCCCCCTCCGCCTCATCAACAATATGCCATGCCCCATGAAGGCTATGGAAATTTCGTGCAAGGTAAGTAGAACCTCTAATATTGAGCTGTTAAAAGTGTCTGCATGATCTGTAATGCACGTAGAATTCAGGGGCTCTTAGTCAAGGTTTGAAGGGTTAACAGTTGTCTAAACTCCTCACGTTTACGTTAGTATGATCTTGTTTGGGTCTCGTTGAGTAAGAATTCGATATATTCAAGCAATTTTTGAGTGAGTTCGACCCTGCTCTCCTGAAGACTTGGTAGAGGTGTAGCAACTTGAAATGTGATAATATTTTCGTTTCTTGGGCTTGAACTGAGTGATTTTTAGCGCCTGACTCTTGCTAGAGATATTCTCCTATGGAGCACTGTATTGTTCCGTACTGTAATTTTTAATAACTCGATTTAAACTTTTATCTTTCAGCAACCCCTTTCTATCAACAACCACCTCCCAGTCAAATGTCTAGACAAAATTCAGCCCCTCAATCAATATATCAACAGCAAGGGCCAGGTATGTTCTCAACCATAAAAGATAGTTTTGAATTTATGTTTTGTTAAAGGTAGTGATGAAAAGAAATAGTCAGATGAAACTGTTTTCGGTTCCGTCCCATTCCTGACTTATTATTGACAACACTGTCTCACTGTTTTATCATGGTAGCATACATCTGTTTTAATTGTCGCAAAATTTGTCCTCATTCTAGGAGCTCCCCCACAACAGCAGCAACAGCAACAACAACAAGCACCACCCCCAAACCCGTCATCGACCGCGCCTCCGCAACAGCAGTAATACTGACTATAGTAGCTCTTTTATTGTTTTCCCAATCCTTTGGCATTCATAAGTTTTTTTTTTTTTTTTTTTTTTTTTTTTT